TAAACCAAATGTATGTGTGATAGGTGTGGTAGACAGAATAATGGTCCCACAAAATGTCCGTGTCCCAATCCCCAGAACCTATGAATGTAAGAACATGAAGAGACTTTGCAGATGAACTCAGTGTTGACGTGGGGAAATGATATTGGATTATTCAAGTGACCCAATGTAATCACAAGAGTTCTTTTAAGGGAAGGAGGGAGGCAGGAGAGTACAAGACTGGGAAGGAGATATCATGGAAGGAAAGATGTGGAAGAGTGTGTTAAAAGAATATAGATGGAATGAGGATGGAGTGTTTCAGGAGAAAGGAGTGATTAATAGTGTTAGAAGTTGATGAAAGGACATTTAGGGACATGGAGGTCATTGTAGGCCTGAGAGAGGCTGGTTTTGGTGGGATGATGAGGGAAAGAGGCCATATTTTCATGGGATGAGGGAATGAATGGGAGGGAAGAAAATGCAGGCAGAGAGAAAAACCAACTCTTGACTGGTAACTAGAAGAGATGTAGGGCCAAATAGTACCTGTTTGTAAGAAGGAAGAGAACCAAACATAAATGGGAAGTGAAGGCATATGTTTATATCTATGAAAGAGAGAATGGATGTATGAATCCTTCTGTAAGGATGTTGACAAGTCACGCATTGTGGGATCCAAACTGTAGGTGGAAGCATTGCATAGGCAGGGGAAAGACATTGTGTCTCTAGTCCTGATGGGACTGTGGAAAGGATGGCTGCTGATGTTTGGTTAGTATGATTGAGTGCATGGAGTTCTCAAAGTGTCTTTTTATGGCTTGAATTTTCTCTATGAAATGGGTGGTGAGAACATTTGCTGAGCAAGGGGGAGAGGTCAGAAAAGTCAGTGTTGTAACAAGTGATTTTGAAAGTTGGGTACATAAATTGATGAGAGAGAAGCAGAAGAATGGCCAGGCAGGGTGACGGGCTCTTCTAAATTGGAAGAAAATCTCATTGTTGTTGTTGTTATGTGCCGTTGAGTTGGTCCGACTCATAGTGACCCCTCCTTGGGTTTTTGTGGCAGTATAACTATGGAAGTAGATTGCCCAACCTTCTTTCCGAGGAGTGGTTGGTGGGTTTGAACCGCCACCCTTCTGGTTAGCAGTCAAGTGCCTTAGACACTATGCTACCAGAGTTCCCTCCGAGGTGGTATTACTATGGAAGTAGATTACCCAACCTTCCTTCTGAGGAAAGAAGTCTCACAGGGGTTTAAATCTCACTGACTGAAGAGACCCTGCACAATTCACATAAATCCAATGAGTCTTACTTTCCCCATCTGTTAAATGGAATCATAGTCACTCTTACAGTAGGGAAGATGGAAGAAGAGAGAGGAAAACATAGGTAACAGAACTCTGTAAATCTAAAGCAGTAAATGTTGGCTATTAGCAATTGTTGCCATGAATTATCCATTGCTTTACAGTTTTTCCTTCCTGGTTTTGCAGTGGGTAGAGGGTACCGAAAGTATCAGGCAGACCTGTTGAGAACATCTTAAATCCCAGGTAACACTTATTTCTGCTAACTTCATAAATAGGTACACCGTTCCCCTTTCAGCTGTGTGTGTGTGATGGTGCCGAGTGGCTGTGAAATAGAAGTGAGTGCGAGAAAGGCAGAGGCTAATGGGACTCTGAGAATATTGAGCGTCACTGCTTCACATCACTGATATCTGGTTACCTAATTCACCAGAACCTCTGAAAGTAAGGATTTCCTCTTACAAATAGAATTGAACAGTACATGGCACCGTGTACAGCATATAGTAGATGATGAATAAAAGTATTGTTGTGCAAGAGACAGGGCAGACACAGTTCTCTAAGAAGGAAGAGCAATGATTTTTTTTTTTTAATACTTTCTAACTAAGACCATTGTTAATTGGAGAAAAATGCCCTCTGTAGTCAAAGAGTAAACCAAGTATGAACCATCCTAGGGCATTACCTTCTATAGACCCAAATTACCCCATTGTACTGCTTGAGTGGATCAATTAGTCAAGTGATCTTACCACGCTGGGTTTGGAGGCGTCAGACATGACCCTGCTTGAAAACGTGTATGTCTCAGATTCTGTCCTCAGTTTCCTGATCCCTTTGAATAACTTCCTGTATTGCTCCCGGACCTGCAGAGGAAAAGCATGCTCAGGGTCAGCTCACTGGGAGGAGTGAAGATATGAATAGTCCTGGGTGGGAGCTGGGTAGTAGTACCTGCTGACTGAGAAGGCAGTACACCAGGAAGATGAAGACCCCCTGCAGGCTGTTGATGATGGTGAAGAGGTAAGCCATGACCTGGGCAGCTGGGCCCACCTGTAAGATGCCCAGGCACCAGGTGCAGCCCAGGATGAAGAGCTGAGCTGTTGCTTTAAATGTCAGCATCCTGGAAGGGAAGAGAAATGATACCTGTGATGCACCCAGAGTGCCAAAATCAAGGTTCTTCTCCACCCTGTGTTCACCTCTACCAACACCCCTTCTCCGCTAGTCATGAGTTCTCAGACAGAGTTGTGCTCAGCCTTAGTCTTTACTGTCAATGATTCCCTCAAAGGAAAACTGTTGTTTTCAGGACAACATTTTTGAGTTGGGCTGAGGAGGGTAGTGACACATCATCATGTGGGTTTCAAAATGATTGTGATGTTCCCTGGAGATCTTTAAATCATTTAACTGACATTTCTGTGGCTGTTGGTAAGCTGGCTCTGAGCTAGGGTCTGGGAATTAAAAATCACAAAGACAAGATTTCTGTTTTCATAGAGTTCTAGTCAAATGACTAATTCAACCAAACAATGATGTGCAATATTGTTGAAGGATAATGATAGGAGCCTCACCATTTGTCTGCCAGTTTGTTGTACTGTGGTGGCTTGCATGTTGTTGTGAGGCTAGAGACAATGCCACCGGTATTTCACATACCAGCAGGGTGATTCATGGTGGACAGGTTTCAGCAGACCTTCCAGGCTAAGACAGATTCAGAAGAAGAAAGGGGCCATCCATTTCTCAAAGAATTGGCCAATGAAAACCTTATTAATAGCAGTGAGACACTGTCTAATATATCACTGGAAAACTCTTTGAATAACCCTGAAACATTGTCTGATATAGTGTTGGAAGATGAGCCCCTCAGGTCAGAAGGCACTCAAAATATGATTGAGGAAGTGGTGCATGCTCAGAGTCGAGTCGATCTTAATGATGTAGATGGAGTAAAGCTTTTGGGACCTCCATTTGCTTATGTGGCATGACTCAAAATGAGAAGAAACAGCTGCAAACATCCATTAATAATCACAACATGGAATGTGTGAAGTATGAATCTAGGAAAATTGGAAATTGTCAAAAATGAAATGGAATGCACAAAGATTGATATCCTAGGCATTATTGAGTTGAAATAGACTGGTTTCATGGAATCAGACAACCATGCTGGGAATGAAAAATTGAAGAGGAATGGCATGGCATTCATGGTCACAAAGAATGTTTCAAGATCTAGCCTGTAGTGCTGTCAGTGATAGGATTATATCCATAAGCCTGAAATGAAGACCAGTTAATAGTACCATCATTTAAATTTATGCACCAACCACCAAAGCCAAAGACAAGGAAATTAAAGATTTTTACCAACTTCTGCAGTCTGAAATTGACCAAACGAGCAGTCAAGATGTGTTGATTATCACTGGTGAAAAAACAACAACAACAACAACAACAAAAACCACCCCACACTCACTGCCATCAAATTGGATTTGACTCATAGGGACTCCTCCTTGGGTTTCCCCAGCAGTATTTCTAAGGAAGTAGATTGCCTAGTCTTCCTTCTGAGGTGTGGCTGGTGGGTTTGAACCACCAGTCTTCTGATTAATAGTCAAATGCCTTAGGCACTATGCTACTAGCACTCTCTATCACTGGTGATTGGAATGCAAAAGTTGGAGACAAAGAAGAATCACTGATAGTTAGAAAATATGGCCTTAGTGATGGAAATACCACTGGAGATTACATGATTTTGCAAGACCAATGACATATTCATTGCAAATACCTTTTTTCAATAACATAAATGGCAGCTATACATGCAGACTTCACCAGATGGAGTACACAGGAATCAGATCGACTACATCTGTGCAAAGAGGTGATGGGGAAGCTCAATATCTTCACCCAAAAGGAGGCCAGGAGCTGATTGTGGAACAGACCATCAACTGCTCACATGCACATTCAAGTTAAAGCTGAAGACAATTAAAACAAGTGCATGAGAGCCAAAATATGACCTTGATAACATCCCTCCTGAATTTAGAGACCATCTAAAGAATAGATTTGATGCATTGAACACCAGTGTCTGAAAACAAGAGGAATTGTGGGATGACATCAAGAACATCATCCATGAAGAAAGCAAAAGGTCATTAAAAAAACAGGAAAAGAAGAAAAGACCAAAATGGATGTCAGAAGAGACTCTGAAACTTGCCCTGGAGTGGAGAGTAGCTAAAGCAAACGGAAGAAATGACAAGATAAAAGAGCTGAACAGAAGATTTCAAAAGCAGTTCAAGAAGACAAAGTCAATTATTATAATGAAATGTGCAAAGACCTGGAGTTAGAAAGCCAAAAGGGAAGAACATGCTTGGCATTTCTCAAGCTGAAAGAACTGAAGAAAAAATGTAAGCCTTGAGTTGCAATATCAAAGATTCAATGGGCGAAATATTGACTGATGCAGGAAACGTGGGAGGAAGATGGAAGGAATACAGAATCATTGTACCAAAAAGAATTGGTCGATATTCATCCATTTCAGGAGGTGGCATATGATCAAAAACCAATGGTACTGAAGGACGAAGTCAAAGCTGCACTGAAGGAATTGACAAAGAACAAGGCTTCAGGAATGGACAGAATACCAAATGAGATGTTTCAACAAACTGAGGCCTTGCTAGAGGCACTCACCTGTCTATGCCAAGAAATTTGGAAGACAGCTATCTGGCCAAGTGACTGGAAGAGATCCATATTTGCACCCATTCCAAAGAGAGGTGACCTCACAGAATGTGGAAATTATTAAACAGTATCATTAATATCACATGCAAGTAAAATGTTGCTGAAACGGTTGCATCAGTACATTGAAAAAGAACTTGCAGAAATTCAAGCTGGATTCAGAAGAGGATGTGGGATGAGGGATATCATTGCTGATATCAGATGGATTTTGGCTGAAAGCAAAGAACACCAGAAAAATGTTTACTTGTGTTTTATTGACTATGCGAAAGCATTAAATTGTGTGGGTCATAACAAATTATGGATAACTCTGAGAAGAATGGGCATTCCAGAACACTTAATTGTGCTCATGAGGAATCTGTACATAGATCAGGAGGCTGTCATTCAAACAAAACAAGGGGATACTACATGGTTTAAAATCAGGAAGGGAGTGCATCAGGGCTGTCTGCTTTGACCTTACTTATTCAATCTGTATGCTGAGCAAATAATCTGAGAAGCTGGACTAGATGAAGAAGATTGGAAGAAGACTCATTAACAACCTGTGTGATATGCAGACAACACAACATTGCTTCTTGAAAGTGAAGATGACTTGAATTACTTACTGATGAAGATTATAGACTACACTCTGCAGTATGGATTACATTTCAACATAAAGAAAACAAAAGCCCTCACAATTGGACCAATAAGCAGCATCACAATAAATGAAGAGAAGCTTGAAGTTGTCAAAGATTTCATATTACTTGGTTCCACAAGCAAGTGATCAATCTAATCAAGTGATCTTACCACGCTGGGTTTGGAATGGAAGCAGCAGTCAAGACATCAGGCGATGTATAGCACTGGGCAAGTCTCCTGCAAAAGACCTCTTTAAAGTGCTGAAGAGCAAAGATATCTCTTTGAAGATTAAGGTGCACCTAACTCAAGCCATGGTATTTTCATTCCCCTCTTACCTGAGAGCTGGACAATGAATAAGGAAGACTGAAGATTTGATGCTTTTGAGTTGTGGTGTTGGCAAAGAATACTGAAAAGTACCGTGGACAGCCAAAAGAGCTAACAGATCTATCCTGGAAGAAGTGTAGCCAGAATGCTCCTTGGAATGAGAATGGCCAGACTTCTTCTGACCTACTTTGGCTATTTTGTCAGAAGAGACCATTCCCTGGAGAAGGATATGCTTGGTAAAGTGAGGGGTTAATGGAAAAGGGAAAGGCCCTTAATGAGATGGATTGACACAGTGCCTGCATCGATGGGCTCAGGTATGGCAAAGATTGTGGGGCTGGTGCAGGACCAGGCAGTGTTTTGTTCTGTTGTACATAGGCTTGGTGTGAGTTGGAGCTGACTTGATGGCACCTAACAACAACAACGATAGGAACCTAGAGGAAAGAACATTAATTTTGTACAAGGGTGCCTGGAGCAAAGAAATTGCACATGTGCTAAAGGATTTGATATTGAATAGGATTTTTCACTGGGTGGCTAGCTACAAATAGTTTGAACTTAGTTACTAATAAAAAGATGGCAACTTGACCCACCCAGTGGCATCATGGAAGAAAGGCCTGGAAGTAGGCTCCTGTGAAGATGGTTGTTTGCCGCTGACTGACTCATAGCGACTCAGCCACAAAAGTATGGAGCTCAGTTCTAGTCTGGAATATATAGGATGTCCATGAGTTAGAGTCCATCAATGACAATGGGTTTGGTTTACTTTTAGGATTTCTCCATATAGAGGAATGGATGAGGGCCAGGAAGGAGGCTGAACTGAGGATGAGGTATAAAAATGGAAGCTGGGTTGTGGGAACAGTGACATATTGTTCTAAATCTTTCCAGAATGTTTTGAACTCTGTCATAGAACTGCTGAGAAAAGTCTGAAACACATGTATCAACCATTGTCAATTCTTGTTCAATTCCTTGTGGCTGGGAGTGTCACTTCCTTGAATTATAGTTGGACAGAACATTCAGCTGGAGTGTTGGCATCAGAACACTGCATCTGAGCTGGCTGCCAGGGAAGGATCCTTCTGTATCTGCTTACTCTGAGGACTCAGCAGCTGCAGAAGGCTATGGCTATGCCCTTTGGACCACACACATCTATGGGCTGTGTATTCTCTTCTCCGTCTTACCTTGTGTTCTGGAGGGTAGACACATCACTGTTGAGGGAGGAGAGCTTGTTCTTCAAAATGCAGAGAGTCATCAGAAAGAAAGCTAAATTGATCTTTGGGAAACCACAGAAAGTTTATTGAATAACATTTCAAACCTGATCACTCTTTACCTGACCCTGTACAACACCAATTTCGTACTTAACTCAAACTCAAACTCACTGCCATCGAGTCATTTCTGACTCATAGTGACCTCATGGGGTTTCAAACGTTGTAAATCTGTACAGAAGCAGATGGTCCCATCTTTCTTCTGCAAAGCAGCTGGTGGGTTCAAACCACCAGTCTTTTGGTCAGCAGCGAAATACCTTAACCACTATACCACCAAAGCTGTTTAATCTCATATTTACATGGCTTTTATATTTAGTAAGTCTTTTATAGGTGCCCTGGTGGCACAGTGGTTAAGTGCTTGGACTGCTAATCAAAAAGTGAACAGTTGGAACCCACCAGCAGCTCTGCAGGAGAAAGATGTGGCAGTCTGCTTCTGTAAAGATTTACAGCCTTGGAAACCCTGGGTGGGGCAGTTCCACTCTGTCCTGTAGGGTTGCTATGAGTCACAGTCTATTTGACAGCAATAGGAACAGTCTTCGATTTTGTAGATTTAGGAGCAATCTTAGAGAACCAAACCAAACACATGACAACTCTGGTTCATTCCTGCTCCTGTCACCTTCGTTATAAATCCTTCTCTTCTAATGACCCTCAGTTGAATAGTAGGGATGTTCTGGTGTCATTACTCACAGAGAAGATGGCACAGACTGGTCCAAGGAAGCCCCATACAAATCCCTTTTCTGGGTGAAGCCAACAGCTGATCAAGAGAGAGATGATAAATTCATTGATCCTTGAGAATATAGAACATTTGTGTAAATTCATTCATTCATTCATCACAAATGTTGAGTGTCTCTTATGTGACAGGCTCTGTGGTTGGTTTTGAAGATAATGATGAAGAAAGTACTCAGGGTGTTAGAATCCACCTATCTCAATCAGGGAAGAGGCCCATGATTAGATGCATTTTAACAATAAAACAAAAATGGGAGATTATGCAAGTGTTTATTAGATGCCATGCTTAGTTTTAGGTCTATGGGATAGGATTATTATATTAAATATTACAATCAAAACTCAGATATTGGCTATACAGATTTTACAAAATGATTCAACTATGTACTGTCTAGAAGAGATGCACTTTAGATTCAAAGACAGCTGGAGTTGGTATATGAATATAAAATGAACCTGACTTTCAGACATAAATGGTTACTGGAGACAAAGAAGGACATTTATAATAATAAGAGAATTGATCCATGAGGAAGATATAATGACTGTAAACATATATGCACCTAACAGCAGAGTCCCAACTACATGAAGCAAAACCTGACACACTTGAAAGGAATGGAAAATTCAACAATAAAAGTTGAAGAATTCAATACCTCACTTTCAATAATGGATAGAACAACTAGGCAGAAGACCAATAAGAAAATGAACTACTTGAACAACATTACAAAACAACTAATTCAAACAGACATCTATAGGACACTCCACTCAACATCAGAGTTCACATTCTTCTAAGCATACCAAAAATATTCTCCAGGGCAGACCATCTATATAGCAGGCATTAAAGGAGCCTCAATACATATAAAAAGATTGGAACCACACAAAATATTTTCTGTGACCATAATGGAATTAGATTAGGACTCAACGAGAAAAGAAACATTGTGAATTCTGTTGTTTCCCAAACAAGCAGTGGGTAAAAGAATAATCACATGGGAAGTTAGAAAATGCTTTGAAACAAATGAAAACACAATATACCAAAACTTAAGGATACAACTACACCAGGGCATGGAAAGAAATCTATTGCTGTAAATGCCTATATATAAAAAAAGAAATGAGATCTTGAATCAATAATCAAACCTTAATAAACTAGGAATAGAAGAGCAAACTAAACCCAAAGCAAGCAGATGAAAGGGAATAATAGGATGAGAGCAGAGAAATGAAGTCAAGAATAGGAGGAGAACAGAGATTCATCAGCACAGTATGAGGTTCTGGACTGAGTGGGGGGAAATGTGGAGCAGAACTCAAAATCATAAAAGAGACCAGGTTACTGGTCTCTTGAAGACTGGGGGAACTGTCAGCAACCTACATTGATGAATAGCGACTAGGATCCTAAAAGCTTTCAAAAGGCCATCTAAGATGCAACTAGTGGTCTCCTATTTTTGGAAGAGGAAAAGAGTGCAAAAAACCGAGGGCATTTGGAAGCGATCAGCCATAGAACACAATGGCCCTCGAGAGCAGAAGAACTAGATGGTGCCTGGCTACCAATGCCAACCACTCGGGAAAGGATCAAATCTGGAGATATTGGATAATGTGGGAGGAAAAATGTGGAACAAAATCCAAAACAACAATAATGACCAGAATTACTGGTCAAATGGAGTTTGGTGGGACCTCCAATACTATGACTCTGAGATACACTTCAGGCCTGGAATAAAACTCATTCCCAGCCCAATAGTAAACAAGACATACACACAGACCACTCAACTCAGGGTGATGCACCCACATAGTCAATGGAGATGCATCCCCTGGAGCAATCGACCACAGGGCACCAGAGGGGCAGCATTTGCAAGGAAGAAATTTAGGACACACGGGAGTGCAAACTATGAAGAGCATGGGGGCAGGCAGGGTGGTTACTGGGAAGGGAGGGAAGAAGGGTGGGTTAGGGTTGGGGATGGATTTAATTGGGGAGTGAAACTAAATGGACACGAAATTTGAATGTAAAACAAACTCTGCTTGGTAAATTTGCACCTAATGCACAATAATAAAAACAAACAAACAAACCCCAAAAAAACAAAAAATAAAGTTAAAAACAAAAGATGTTTTAAAGGGAAAATAAATAAAGTGCTTAGCTTGAAGGATTTCCATAATAAATGTTCAATAAACAGGGTGACTGTTCCTATTGTTCCAAAAAACAACAACAAAAAAGACTGGTGGAACCCCCAAGACAATGGCCTTTAGACACCCTTCAAGCTGGAAACTGGACTGAGCCCCCAGGACTCAACTGTTAGCAAATGATAACCAGGCCTATAACGTGAACAGTGATATCAGAGTGTGTGCACTCACTGAAACCGTCAAGCAGACGAGATCAAGAGGACAGCGTTTGCCCAGGGATAGAGCTAGGAAGACCAGAAGGGATGGAAAGGACAAAAGGGAAGGGGGTGGGGCTCAGGAAGGAAGTGGGAAGAATGCTGTTACTGTGTGGGGATTGCAGTAAATGTCACAACACAAAATGTATGTGGTTTGCTGAATGGAAAACCAATTTCGTTTGTAAAGTTTCACCCAAATCACTATATATATATTTTAAAAATAGTGAATCATCAAACCCAAAAAGTGTTTTTTAAAAAAGGTTAAAAGAATTGATAAACATTTAGCTAAACTGACCAAGAAAAATAAAGAAGACTCACATTACTAAAACAAGGAATGAGAGGGTATGCATCACTACTGACCTTACAGAAATAGAAAGGATAGTAAGAGATGATTATGAGCAACTATCCACCAACAAATTATGTAATTTAGATGAAATGGATAAATTCCTAGAGACACAGACTACTGAATCTAAAGAGGAAAGAGAATCTGAATAGACTTATAACAAGCACACTTTTTACATTAGTAATTTAAAAAACTTTCAACAAAGGCAAGTCCAAGACCAGAAAGTTTCATTGATGAATTCTATTAAATGCTGAAAAAAAGTTAATATCAATTCTTCTCAAATTCTTCCAAAATATAGAAAAGGCAGCAACACCCCTCAACTGACTATGAGGCCAGCATTTCCATGGCACCAAAACCAGGAAAAGACAGCACAAGAAAAGATATATGATACAACACATATGACCTTTGTAAATGTTACACTAAATGAAAGAATCCAGTGACAAAAGACTGCATGATTTCATTTATGTGAAATGTCCAGGGTAGGCAAATCCATGAGACAAAAATGATTTCTGGTAATCCGCCTGGAGCAGGGCCAGAAGAGGAGGAAGGGGAAACAGGGAAAAACTGCTATTGTGTATAAGTTTTCTTCTTTGGGAGTTGAAAAGGTTTGATAATTACATTGTAGTGGTGGTCTCGCATCTCTGTGCATATGCCAAAACCCACTGAAATTTTATATGGTGAATTTAATGATATGTTGAATCTCCATAAAGGTGTAAAAAATTAAGACCAATATTACAAAGTTGAAAATAAAAGAGTGCAAGCTCTGGGCCTGACTTCCTGGGTTTGATTTCTTTCTGTTTGGTGCAGCTTTGGGTATTTACTTAAATGCTTCATGGCTCAGTTTACTCGTCTGTAAAATGGGGTGGTGGTGGTGGTGGTGTGACAGCACCTACGTCATAGGATTTGTGTGAGGTTTAAATGAGTTAATACATGTTAAAATGATTAGAAAACTGGCCCATTGAAAGCACCCTGTAAATATTAACCATGCCACTACCTATTATTTTGATCATTTAAATCAGATCTACTTTTCCAAATAAAAAATTGGAGCATCCCAAGGCTTTGAGTAAAGAAGTAGATGAATAAACCAGTGATAT